GAGATGTTAGGAAGCACTTCTACATGCAAAGGGTGGAAAAATTTCAGAAGTTCTTTCACGTGTTTTTTGTGGGGGTGAAAGATTGTCAGGTGTAGGCAGGAATGTAAAGTAATCATTTCAACTATGATTTTACTGAATTGTACAGCAGACTTGAGTCAAGCGGCCAGGGTAGTGTTCACAGTGTCGGGTTTCTTCTCAAAGGAATGCATCGGAGACAGTTCAGAGAGAGAGAGAGACGGAGCAAGGAGAGGACAGAGAGAGACAGAGGGGGGAGGGGAAGGAGAGAGGGGAGGGAGGGAGAGAGAGAGAGATGGAGAGATGGAGCAGGGAGGGAGAGAGAGACTTATGTCCTGTAACTTGTAGTAAATTAAAGCACACTGCTGAATCCACATGGTAGCCCCCTCACACTTACTTGTTCATGAGGTCAAAGCCTTGATCAGATAAAAGGGCCCCAAACCGTTTCCGCAGGTTGTTGAACGGATATTCAGTAAAGGTCATTTTCTTCACTGCAGGAAGTTCATTGTAACCAGGCCAGATCTTCTCACTTGGTGTGCCTAGCTCCTGCAAGGAGAAACATTTTAAACTGTAGCCTTCGCTTTCAATGATTCTATCAATGCAGTGTAACTACAAGGACCCTCTAACCAATCTAGCTTAGATCATCCACAGATTTCCAAGCATTTTATCAGTCCCTCTATCATTTGGAATCTATTTTATCAAGTTTTCAGGATTTGATGATCCACAAGGAAGAGAAGAAAAGGAACAGAACAAAGGAAATCGTTCAACACAGCAAAGGTATGACTGGATCTGATTGGCATCTTGGGGGTAGATGCAAAATGGCCAACTATTGCAAGAACAGCAAAGGCTGAGCAATTACAGGGACAGTAATAATCAATTCTTCTCTGAGGTAAAAAATACTGCATGAGGATTAAGGGTAGAATTCAAAGTGAATGTCTTGAAGTGGAAGGTGGAGGGAATCAGCTCCCATGGCAGGCAGCAGCTTTATCTTCAATACTATTAAAGGAACGTGCACAAGATCTTTTCTGGTGTATAACAATTGGGAACCCATCAAAAAAGGCAGGTTTGAAGCAAGTTCTACTGCAGGAAGTTAAAGTGTTTAGTACAAAACAAAGTTAACAATACTGACATTGCAGACAATCCAACATCTGCAGTTCTTTCAGCTTTTAAACAATACAGACATTAGCCTCACCTTTACAAAAATCAAGACTCATGCCCGTTTTAGTATGCTCACATACCTTAAAAATTTTGTTAATCTGATCAATTTCAGATTTCCCTGGAAACAAAGGTTTCTGAGTTAGGAATTCAGCGAAGATACAGCCCACTGACCATAAATCAATAGCAGTTGAGTATTCCTGCAAAATATAAAAGGTAGGATGTCAGCAGCAACATTTTCTCAACCACACTTCCAAAAGGAAACCCTAGAGTGACCTTACATTGACAGAACAGGTCAAGATACATTTTTAAATTTCCACTTTCAGAATCTTCAAACAATATCGATTATGTGTGAAGGTGATCATAGCCAAAGAACAGGCCCAATACTTGATCTCTTGAATATCAAGTGAAAAAGTGAATAAATCTCAACAGTGAAGCATACACTATTTAAAATGATGTGGACACGAATGTAACTTTACAAGACTGACAATAATAATCCATCAATTCTGCACATCTATTGCAAAATACCCTTCCCACATTCGCCTTAACTCAATGGAACAGTCACTTCACTTCTATTGAAATGAACTAGCTGTATATTCCAGGATTCAGTTCAACCAGGCAAGTGTGTATATGGGTGGCATGTG